TTTTTAACTATTGTCTGACTTGAAAGTATAACGGTGTAAAGTCAGCTGTTGATATTTATATTGCACTAGGATCAAGAGTAATGGGAAAAGTAGGAAATAATACAAAGTGTTTTGACTCATAATTGCAACAAGATTTTTATGATAATATTTTAGAATGATTCATATCTGGCAAGTAAAATAAGATTTAATCATTATGGCTTATCTATTGATTTTATAAAAATCCCAAGTAGGGAGAAATGCAAGAATCATAGTCTTTATTTTGCAAATGGTTTATTTCTCATAGACATATTATGGAGAAAGCAGAATTCCAATGGCTTCTAAAGATAAAAGAAATTTCCAACTTGTCGAAGTTATTTTATGCCACAGACACCCTAAAACTATTAATCTGCCCTATGGCTGGAAATACTTTTATGGAAATTCTTGAGAACTTCATTTTGTTTGTTTATGTTGCCTTTTATGCCAAGACAGAATTCAGAAAGAATCTAAAACTTACAAAGATTATATCAGCCAGACTGTCCCACACAAGATATTTTATTAACATAATCTTTAAGCCTCAAGAAGAAGCTATTGGCCTACTGCTCTCCTTCTCCCAAATAGCTCCCAGGAGTTGCACTGTGATTTAGTTTCAGTAATTACTATCTTTTGTTGGGAGCAAAGGAATGGCCTAGGTGGGTCTTGGAGTGCCAGTGTTAAAGCACTTCTTGACCTTGTTGGGTCTCATAGCCCCAAGGAAAGCTGCACCTTTGTTTAGGAATCTACTGGTTCATTTATCATCTGTCACTGATTTTTGTCTGGGAACCAGAGACCAGAACTCTCCAGGGATACCACTTACATTCTTACGTGACTGTGCTTTTAATGTCACAGTCCAGGAATATCTCTTTTTTATGTTAATTTCCCTCCTTTTCAAAGAAAATGGCCCTGAAAGTAATGTCATTCTGTATAATGACCTGATTGCAATTAGCAATCAAGGACCAAGCCTGTCATTTGACTGCAAGAAAAAAACAAATGGAAAAGGGACACAAGTCTGGCGTCTGCAGCCTCAGCATCTGGAGAGTGTCTCATCCCTGAGCGCGGCTCCCCTGGCAGCCGAGTCTGCTGTGGTCCTCACTGGGACCATCATTTAGGCCCCTTGGCATATTCTTCTCTGCCCTGAGAAATTAAATGTGTGCTTCAGTAGGTGCTAGATTAATGAAGGTTTTGTGGGGGGAGGTTTGTTAAGTTTGATTTGTGAAACTCTCTCAAGAGTTATATTTTTCCCTCTGTGTTTTTCACCACTGAAAGCATAATTTGGGTGAGGGATGGACGAAAGGGAAGAACTCTTTCTTTTTTTTTAATAGCATGCATACCACTTTTTAAAACAGGTCCCTGTCACAGATGAAACAATAACTTAGTTTCATCAATTTCAAGATCACCTGAATGACTTGGAACAGTTGCTAACCAAACTATTACCGCCTTGTGATATTCAGAGACAGCCCATGGAGAACAGAGCAATACTACTCCTGGCTGCCCATGTCATCAGCTTGCCAGATCAAGGGGGTTCCTGGCTTGGATCTGGCAGACAGTTCATTCTTAGGACAGTTTTCTTTGATTCACACATAGAAAAATAAAGGATTTCCCTCTCAGCTGCTCATGGAACAGTAACTCCAAACAGGGGATGTGTTGAGAGGAACTGGCCTACTGTACTCAAAGAAGGCGGCTCCAGAGGTTCCCCGTGCTTTATCCCTTTTGTCAAAGATATCAATCAGTGCATTGTCTGCTGGGCTTTGCTCTCATGTCTGGTGCCAAATGCCACAAAGCTATTTCAGTAGCTATCACTGATAGCCCACCCCACAACCCAGGGCAACAATTTCACTCAGTAAAGAGTAGAGGTTTTTTTTTTTTCCCCCTGATTTTTCTGCCTCCTTGATGAATTGGCTTTCTTCTGTGTCCCAGTCTGGTGGGAATGTGTGACTGCGAAGTAAGATGGAGCTTGCCTCGCAGGAGAGAGAGGTGAGGGAAGGTGGGAAGTTCGACAGCAAGTTCAAGTGCTGTGAAACTTACCATACTGCCCGCTGTAAAGCAAAGATCTATGCCAGAGTGTGAGTCCTATTTTTAGGTTGGCTGAAATTCTTGAGCCACTCAAGAAGTCTGTGAATTGAGACAGGTTTACCCATCCAGGAACACTGCCCAGAATGGTGCATGTGGCCACAGTCACTGAACTCTCGGGTTTCCAATGAAACTGGCTTTGTGAATGTGTACATGCAAGTTGCAGACCCTTTTCAAAAGTCAGGTTGGAGGATATTCATTTGGGCAGCCATGGATGGAGAGAGGCTTTTGTAAGAAAAGATACCATCCTCCAGGAAGTCTGGCTGAAAATTGAGACCATTGCTTAGAACAGTCTTACAGGAGTTTTCAGTGAGTTCCCATTAATTATTTTTTCCCTCTGCCAGTCACATTTTTCTGTTTCATTTCTTTTGCCTTTTAGCATAAACACAGTTATTATCTTCCAGTTTGTGAGCCCTTCAGACAGGCAATAATTTGGATGTTTTGCCCTAGGTGATACAGCAGCCAATACTCAACTTCTGTTCCCCACCCTAGACTAAAACTGCCTCCAGCTATTGTGATAGTTGTGACTGCGATGAACCTTTCAAAATAACTTAATAATGGCCTTTCTGTAAAGAGGGAATCTCCTATCTCCTTTAGGGTTTAGTTGTATTTTTCTAGCACATCTATAAGAATGTGAGGGAGATTGGTCCCGTGGGTAAGGATGATTAAAGGAGTGTGTTGACATTTTCTTTCTCTGAACTTCCAGAAATTTTTACATGGCTGTCATGAATTTGGAAGGACCCAGACGAGTTAGTTTTCCACATTGATGTGTTTTTGGGAAAGCATATTGATTGCACAACAACATAGTGTGATGACATGTACTCTTATCTTTTTGTGTAAAAAGCATAAATTGTGCAGGCTTTCTTTTCAGTTGTTCTATAACATCTCTTTTTTTGCCTTTTCATTATTTTATTTTATTTTAATTAATATTTTATTTTATATAATTCTTACATCATTTTTCATTTTTGCACAATGTATGCATTTTCATTTTGGTTATATTCCCCATACAATTGTACCCCCCCTTATTTTGACCCTAGACCTTCCTCTCCCCTTCCCTCTCCCCCCACCCCCATAGTGTGTCTCTGGTTTATAGTTGCTTGTTGATTTTTATTTTTACTTTGTATTAATTAGTCTTTCATAACATCTTTTAAAAAATTCCAAAGAAATTCTCACAGATAATTTAAACTGCTTACCTTATGATTTTTATTAGAGCTTACTGGAATGCTCTAGTATATATGCTATCATTTCCTCTTAGAAAAGGTAAAGTGTTCATTCATAGCAACCAGTTACTAGTTATCATTTTTACTTTTGGGCTTACAGTGCAAGTATCTTCACTTATCTGTGCAAAAAATATATTTTTAAAAATTGAGACTCCATTGCAGACACCAAGCACAGTAACATGACTCATTTTAATTTGGCAAAAATGCTTGTTACTCTACTTTGACAAAAATGGATTTAATATAAATTGCCTCCCTATAATGCCTGTGGGCATTACTAGTTCATAAAAATCTATATATCCATTATACTAATGATTACGTTTCCTCTTTTGCTTCTTCACACTTCTTCCTGACTTCTTCTATTTTAAAATGATAGGATTAAATATTTTATATATCTTTAAATCAGAATTGGTTTATAAAAACTGACTGTTGCAAAAAGAATATTCAACTTCATTTCAGTCCAAATGAAATTTGGAAGACTGCTGCGTGCAGGTGCTTTACAAGCTGCTGGCAATAAAGTGATGGAGGGAAACTTCCTAACCACACGGAACAGTTTAGAAGAAAAACAGGCCTATTTAATATTGTCTTTTAATTTATTCATTTATTTGATGCTTCTGTACTGCTTACATAGTGCTCATATGCTATGTATTATTGCAAGTAATTTGCAAGTAATTTTATAAGTGGTTCTATAGAGGAAAGTGATCATCTTCATTTTCATTTGGATTTTACTATAATTTAACAATAGGGAACAACAGAGATTGGGACATAAAGGTAAATATACACTTCTCTCTTTTTCTGTCACATCTTCAGAGGTGAGACCTGGACAGAGCAAAAGAGAAATCTAATCCCTTCCTCCAGGAGAGGGGTATTTAGTTCATGATGTCCTGAATCTTTTAACTTTTTGATCCTTATGTTTGTTTTGGCTAGTTGAATTGTCATGGTCTTTTTTTTTCTCCTCCTCCTTCCTTAACCTGATACTGTCTTTGTTATTGCTCTTGACTGTTGTCATATTACTTTATTTTGGGAGAAGTTAATGAAGAAAACCTCTTTTCAAAATTTGTTTTCTCATTCCATTGTCATAGAAGTTATAATGTCTTGCATACATGACTTTCACGAGGACAATTTACAAACTCAACTTTAAGTTGAGTAGTCTTAAAAAGGTCCTGTTTTCTTTCGCTCCAAATCTTATTTTGTCCTTTAAAAGTTCATTGAACTTCCAATTGTTTCTCAAGTAACTTATTCTATTAAATGCATTAAGCTCTAAATTGCATAATTTATCCTGATGTATTTCAAAATACCTTTCAAAACTATTCTGTTTTTTTAAACCTCATCTTACAAGTCAAATTGATTTTATAAATTAACCAAAAATTACCATAAGAGAGAGAAAAGTGTAAACTGTATGAGAATAATAAGAATAATAATTTTTTACCCTATATTTGACAATATTTTAATTCTGGAACTTCCATGAGAAAAAGAAATTTTTTAGTTTCTTTGAACAAATTTAGGAGGCCCCAGAATATCATTTTTGTGATAACTTTCTTTGCTACCTAATGTATTTGACCAGTGTTTTTCGGCCATCTTTTACAAAAACCAAAACATATCTCTTGGGTTCACAAAGAACTAATTTCAGTCATTTTAATCCCTGGAATTGTGTGTATAATCAAGTTCACAGTCAGTCTCTAATTATCAGTGTCAGTGTTAAGCAAAATTTTGGTTGAGTGAAAATGAGAAGCTTACAAATATGTTATCTGGTAAAAATGACAAGTAAGGACAAAAATGCCATATACCAGTTCTTGTGCTAGTTTAAATTTTGAAATGTGCCACACAATTGCTTTGTTCCCAGGTCCCTATTGTGGAAGTATGACCATGCCCTTAGAACTCCGGCTGAACACAAGCGAAGTGACTGTTCGATTTGAGAGTGGATCCCACATTTCTGGGCGGGGTTTTTTGCTGACCTATGCCAGCAGCGACCACCCAGGTATAACTGAAGAATCAACACACCTCTGTAAACCTTTATTTAAGAATTCCTCTTGCAACTTATCATTGTCTCTGGACAGAATTATTACCTCCATTACAGAATTAAGATGTAAGACAAGAGAGGAATATGCTGTTTTGTAAGTAGTTAGGTCTGAAACTGAATAAAGTTGACCCTTGAACAACGTGCTTTAAACTTTGGAGTCACTTATGAATTTTTTTCTGTGCACAGTTTCTATATTCCCAAATTCAACCAACCACATAGGTACCTTGGTTGAATCTGTAAATGTGGAATCCATGGGTCGGACATGGATTTTACTTGACTGTGGGGAGTCGGTACCCCAAACTTCCGCTGTTGTTCAAGGTCAACTCTACTTTTATAATAATGTTAGATTGATCAGTTGACTTTTTTATGACAAGGTTGATTTCAGTTTTTCTAAGAATCTGAAGCCCTCTCCTAATTCTTTCCTAGCTCCAGGGATAAGACTTTTAACCAATGGGGACACACACACACGCACACACACACACACACACACACACACACGAGTGCACCCGCATAGGAGACTTGTAGTAGAAGCAGGCTGAGGTCACTGTACACAGTTTCCTAACCACAGAGGCAACACATGAGCAGGTGAGAAGGGAAGTGTGAACAATGATGAGAGAGGAAATGTCCAATGTCCTCCCCATCCAGGTCTCCTATACCCCATTGTGATTGTAGTGCAGCTAGTTCACATCTGCCCAGGATCACTAAGATACCCAAAGTTTCTATTCTCAGACAGAAATGATGTGAGAAAGGTGATGGCACCATTTATTTCCCTCTTGGTCAATTAGGTCTGCAATCCTAGCAGTCTTAGAGAAAACTACTGTAGCACGCATGTGACATTTTGGAAAATATGCTAGATTGATCCTAAATGCATCAAAATCCACACTATCTTAGTATCTTTATTATAAATCTTTATACCTGATAGATCAAAGATGATGGGCTATGTTCTCAGTAAACTCCTGAATCTGTGGTCATTCAGATGCCACAGGAGCATTTTTTAAATGTTCCTGAATCTTACTGTGAACCACATTGGACTTTTGAAATTGTTTTCTGCCTGCCAGAGGAGGTTATATACATAATCTTAATCTTTGTAGGCATATAGTAGATAGTTACTAATCAATGTTGGCTTTTTCTGCTGGAAATAGATTCTGTTATATTTCACTGCACAATTGCAAAAAAAAAAACAAAACCCCATCATTGGTGGTAGGGGAAAAAATGAAGGAAACTGATTAAATCCTGGAGAAGATATTTCACTTTTATTTTTTCAACAGAAAAATAAGTGCTTAAAATTCTTTTTATTTCAGAAGAAGTCTTTAGAGTATGAGTGTCCTAACTTCCATTCACCCCACTAATTGCAATTATCTTTATTTATGACAGATTTAATAACATGTTTGGAACGAGCCAACCATTATTTGAAGACAGAATACAGGTAAATAGAGGTGTCCTAGCTGTGCTGCAGTCAGTGTACATTTTTTCCTTTATAGTCAACCAGATAAAGTTCCTTATTCTTAATTTTTAAAAATCACCTCAGTTGTAAAACAAGGAATATTTGAAATAGTTTCTTATACAGCAGAGGTGAGCAAACCTTTTCTGTCAAGTATTCAATAGTAAATATTTTAGGTTTGCAGGATAGCCCAGTCTCCCTTGCATCTACTCATACAGCTTCTGTTGCTACTATTGGACAAAGTCAGCTGTAGACAAATGAGCATGCCTGTGTTCTGACAAGCTGTATAAAACAAGCACAAGTCTGCATTTGGTCCCTGGGCCAGTTTTCTGATCCCTGAGCTCTATAGTTACATGAGCCAAAATGGAGTCTAAGTGGTTTTTATTTTAACCTGGCCAGCATTTAAGAGTAACTTCTCTCATTTTTTGAAGGGGGTTCATTTTGTCTTTCCCTAGAGAAACCTAGTAAGAATAAGGAGATGAAATTTTTTCTCCTGGGATGCTACTTAATCGCTCTGATGTATGTTTCCTCATCAATACAGAAAGGGTCCAGAGCTGGATTTCAACTTGACACTACTGAAACGTTGGGGTGGGTGGTTCTTTTTTGTGAAAAGTTGTGCATTATTGGATGGTTAGCAGCATCCCTGGCCTTGAACTTCTACTTGCCAATGGTGATAATCAAAATGTCTCCAGACATTGCCAAATGTCTCCCAATTGCAAAAATCATCCCCCAGTTGAAACCCACTGGTCTGAAGATCATCATCAACAACATCAACAACTGCAACTCTTTAGAGTGCTGCTTTCTTAGTGCCACGTACAGCTCTCTGGACTTAGGATATAAGTGACTAATGTGAATGTTTCAACATGCCAAAGCCAAAATGTTTTTGAAGACACATTTGGTGGCAAGAAACAATTTGACAACAAATTTAGACTAAATTAACAAGTATACATTTAGTCATTCTATGCTTGGCTTGCACTATTCATATATGTGATGCAGAGATATTAAGGTTTTTGTTAATACGTTCAGGTCTCACTGGAGTCTTACACCACAAACATCATTGTCACTGTTTCACTTTTCTAAATTAAAAAAAAAATCTGAATTTTGAATTACATCTGGCTCTGAGTTAGGATAAAGAATTGTAAAACTGTAATAGAATTCCTGTTATTTTTATTCTTAATTCCTTGATTAGAGCTGACTCCAGGAAGTCAATGGGAAAGGATTATGAAACATTTATTTGGGTAGTTTCAATAATTGGATGTGGCTGCACATCTAATTTGCTAAGTCAGCAGGAGGAAACTAAAAGGAAATGAACTAAAAACAACTGCTATTTTGGAATCTGGACGGCTACATTCTTTTTTAAGTAAACATTATTGTAATGTAGTATATATACAAGCCAGAGCATATGGCATTCATCTTCAAAGCTGTCGATGTTCTTATAATATTTTGACTTTCTTTTTAGCCCTTTTTTTTCATAGAAATATAACTGTCCCTTATTACTTATTTATCTGTTGATGTTTGAAAGAGCTACAGATGAGGAAACTGAATTTAAGGGGAATTTTCTGCAATATTGAAGGTCACAAAGCTAGCTAGGTAATAGCAGAATCAGGGTCACATCATGCAAAACTCCTTCAACTATACCATATTCCATGACATGTTTCTGGAAAGTTTCTGAAAAATGACTGCTAAATATATCGAATCCTAATTTTAAAATAAACCTTTTTTTAGCTAAACGCATAGAAATGAAGAGTAGAAAGTGGTTAGGTGGGGAGGTTGGGGAAATTGGAAGAGGTTGATAAAATCATGCAGACCTTCAGCTGTAAGGTGAATAAAGTCTGAGAACTTAATGTGTAACATGGTGACTGTAGTTGGCAATAATATATGTAATTAAAATTTGCTGAGAGTAGAATTTACATGTTCTCACCAAATATATATAGGGGTGTGTGTGTGTGAAAATATATATGAATGCGTTAACTATTTGAGAGAAAGCCTTTCACAATGTATACATATAAAATCATGATGTACACTTCAAGTATCTTACAATTTTTGTATCTTATACTTTTATTTGTCAATTATACCTCAATAAAGCTGAAAAATACACCTTCTTTTCTAATTGAAAGTAATTCATATCTAATGTACATCATCACTGTCCAACATTAGCCATGTGGCTAACAAGCACTTAAACTGTGGCCAATCCAAGTTGAGTTTTGCTATAAATGCAAAATACACAGCAGAGTTTGGAGATATCAGAAAAAAAGACTGGAAATATGTCATTAATATTTTTTCTGCTCATTACACGTGAAAATAATAAAATTTGAACATATTGGGTTAAGTAAAATATATTATAGGTATTAATTTTGCCAATTTCTTTTTACTTTTTAAATTTTAATGTGGCCACTAGACTATTTAAATTTATATGGATAACTTCTCTTATCTTCCTATTGGATTGGTGCTATTAGAGTGAATCTAGATATCACAGAGTAAAATAATAAAGTTCCCAAAATCCTACTCCTAGAGAGAATTCAGAGATAATTCTTTCTTGTCTTTTTTTAGCCACAAAAAAACATAGTTTTGGGGTATGTTAAGCATTTCTCTTTATAAAGACAAGATCATGCTGTATTTCATGTTTAGTTATGCTGTATTTTATGTTATGTTTTATTTTATGCTGTATTTTATGTTATGTTATTTTAATGTTTAGAAACTTATCTTCTCCCTTAAAATATGTCTTAGACATCTTGTGATCAATTAAGATGCATTAGGGAAACTCATTGTTTAGTAGAGATTATCATGAATCCTTATATAAAACAAATAATTGTTGTAAAGACTTGCCTTCAGAGTAACATTTTAGATTTCTGTTTTCTGATTTGTTATTAGAACAAAATATCCCCCCATGTTCAAAGCAGGAGAGAAAATACTTTCAAATCTTATGTAATACTTTTGAATTTAAATATAATTTCATTAAATTATAAATATTTTATTTTCTTTTTCTAGCAAATTCTGCCCAGCTGGTTGTAGAGACATAGCAGGAGACATTTCTGGCAATGTGGTGGATGGCTATAGAGATGTAAGTAATTTTATGGTAGGGAGGAAATTAAAAGAGTAGATACTTGTTGCTTTCCCATAATCATTACAAATAAAAATCAATAATATATAAAATTCTTTAGGTAGATAATTGATTCTTATCTGAGAATAAATGAAATAAGGCTGTAAAAACCAAGGTAATTCATGCATTCATTTGTATTTTTAGCATTTCCAATCAAGCATATTATAAATAAAATGGTAAATAAAACCCTTTGAACACCTATTCCTGTAATTCATCTATTTTTATTACATCATCCTGTTTCTTATAATTTAATCTCTTCATTTTAATGTTCTTGGTTCATGTAAGAGAGCCAAGGTCATGCGCATCACATCACAGTAGAGACATGGTTTCTAGGGCCAATAAAGTCATCTGCCTGTTCTTATATATTATTCCCCTCCCTCCTTGCACCCCAGTTTTTTTATGCTTTATGAGACTCTCTTGGTTATACGTTGTTCCCAGAGGAAAATAAATTCACAAATTGTTTTTATAAAGGATGAGTCTTATTTCCAGATACACAACCCTTCATTTTTTCCCTGTGTATAGATTCCCTGTCCTGAAGTCTAGTATCTGATTTTTTTTAAATTTATGTAGCTATTTAAATACTTGAGTTTACAGCTTATGAAAACTGACTCGAATTATTAAGAATATGAAAATCTGACTAATGATGGAATTGTAAGAGTTATTGACATGTGTCTTGGGGAAAATAGACATATTCTTGCAGATTGATAATTCATTTCCAGCAATAGGAAAAACTGAACTTTAGTTTTTACTTTTTAGCATGTCCTGATTCTGGGAGCAGTGGAGTTTGTTATTTTGCTGTTTGTTTCCTTTTTCATGTATTGTCTTTATTTATAAGATTGATACAAGATATTCATATGACTTATATATTGATTTATATTACCTCAGCCTGAACATCTACTAGGCTAGACTACTCCTAAATGACTTCAGAAAGTTAACTGAGAGTAATGGAAAGTTCTTACTTACTATTTTCCTGCCCAGTACCAGAAATGTAAGGTTCTATGTAATAAGAGAAATAGCCTGGTGTTCTCTTATTTCAGATGTTTATCTTGCCTCCTCCTGACAGAGCAATCTAACTTGTTGTCATAAGTAAGATGGCTTTCTGCATGATGGATCTGAGTAGTATGATTTGCAACTGCTAACAAACAGGTTTTCTATTTGACAGACTAACTGGTTTTGTACGATTTGCTTTTAGAATGATTTTACCTGGAGGGAAAATTTGCATTTTGAAAACTAAACTCTTCAAAGAGGTCTGACTAGTACCTTTCTTGGT